CAGAAATTTTGGCGCGAATATGGCTTTATCTCTCTTTGAATTGAGTGTTAAGGCCATATGGCGTTATCTCGCATGGCTTTATCGCACCCCACCAAAATTTCTATTTATATACACAAAAAAAAAATCCCTTTATATAAACTTCTGCCCCCTAGGTGAAAGGATGGCTACGCCCTTGTACACAAACCAATCAAAGTATTTAAACCGTACATCATACGGTCAGTTTGATCGTTTAGAGCGCATACATGGTTCCATAATAATGATTCCAGTACCTTCATTTATGTATATTGTAACTATCAATATCTTATAAAGAGGAGTGTACAATTTTTTTAATCTAAAACTAATAAAGTTAGAAGGACGAAATTCGACATAACATAACATAACATAACATATTAGTTCTTGGCATAAATTTTTTTCAAAAATAAATATTGAAAGTTTCCAAGGATATTCAAGGATTAAAGTTTTAAAAGAACATTTTCAATACTTGTTCGTTCTGGTGCACTCAAAAATTAATTTTTTTTCTATTCTACAGAACATTTCCTTTTAATTGTAATACTGTTATTCTACAATGCACCGAATCTTTTGTTTAAATTTTTTATTCAATCATATTCTAGAAGTTTCAAAGTCCTTTTAAAAAAATCCTGACGTCAGAAGGGAAAACCAAAAACGCAGTTTTACTATATTTGGCCCCCAGTTTTGTGAATATATTGATTTTTTCGTGTGTAAAATTGACTGTCGCACGGTGTAACCATTCATACAAAACGAATAAATTACATTATTTTTCAGTACTTACATATTTCATCAACTGTGCAACCATACCGTTCCATTCACCTGTAAATGGGTCTTGAGCTCCATACTTTCGATCGGGCACCAGGTCTAGGATGTACTCGAAACCAATGTCGCGAGCTATGAGCTCCAATATGTCTACGCAAAATCCAAAAAATCGCTCATTTCCAGTAAAATTTTTTCCGTAGTGCATCATTACGTAAGGTGTTTCCTATAAGAAAACGCATATCGTCGGTTATACTTAATGTGACCAACTATTTCATAGCTCAAAGAAGTACAGGTTAGGTTGGGTTAGATTAAACTGGTTGGCCCAGGCAAGGGACACACTTGGACAATTGAGAGGTTGTCCTGTTTGGATACCACGAAAAAACTGAACGAATACCCTTAATTTAGTCGGCGAAGCGCTATGAGCCGATTACCAAATTGCGAATCCGGCTGATTTCGATCCCTGAGAGCTCAGTGTTAGTTAAGAAATGCGATCCAAAATGCTTCTATCTTAGCCTTCCGAAGGTTGGGTAGTCTAAAAGAAAGTGTGGATATGAGTCCAACTCACCTTCCTTATTGCCTATTTTTATAGACTTTAAAAATCATTTAGGGCAACTAATTTTTTACATCAACCGCATTTTTCTTTGTTAAACTAACTGAATAAATAAGCTATTAAATAAACTGTTAAACTGCATAAATCAAAATTCCTTTCCTATAAAAACTGTGTTTCTCTTACATGTATTATTGGCTAAACAAATATTTCAATGAGAGTGACTGGATTTCATTTCGTTCCGCTCCACTCACGTTTGAGAAAAAGTTGAGAATTCAACATTTCACAATTTGAAAATAAAAGAAAAAATCCATAACTAAAACCCTGCAAAAAGTGGGACTAGGTTAAATACTAGTACGGGACCACGCTACCTTGTAACCAACACTAGTAACCAAAATGGTCCAAATATATGGAGAAAATATGGTAACATTAACATTGCGATGTCATTGGACCTGACCACCTCTGGTCCAACGCTGCATAACATGGGACCACCTAGACGCCTACTCCTTTTGGACCATGGCACACTCGGCAACCGAATCGTATTGCCGATCGGCCGCGAAGAGGTGGTGTTCAACACATTTATCAGTTTTTTACGTTTGAAGTGGTCCAGGTCAGCATAACAAGTTACTAGTATGCAACCTGGTCCTTTTGCACATACTTTAAAATCACGACCCATTGGACCACCTGGTCCTCAAATTTTTGCAGGGAAGTGCCTTTTAGTGTGAGAACGCTATCAATGGTTATTTGAGATGCATTTGAAAACTAACGTTTGAGATTTGAGAAAAGGACTGATTCTCAAATGCATCTCAAATTGAGATTTAACAAAAATGTTTATTGGGAAATATCAATCATATACACATATGTACAATAGTAATTGCTATGAATTGCTACAGTATGAATTCAGGCCATGCATTTTCTTTGAGACTCCGTTGATTATTGTGGTCATAAGTTCAGCCAGCACATTCAATGGTCCATTACCCGTAGCTGCTCCAACATGATGAGTAGATTTTAATGAGCCTCACATGCCACTGCCTCTGATTAAAGCTGGATATGGGAATATTAGAAAATAAATAGAAATTATCTATTAAAACTATAAGAAAAATGTTTGTTTACAAAATTACCTGCTCTCCTCGCAATTTCTAAGGAAAATAGAAGTTCGACACTCCGAGAATCCAATCAAATAAGGATGCAACCTCGAATGAAAGATAATAAGCTAAAAATTTGCACAAGTCATTATTTTGGTGTTATAAAGCTTACCTCAAAAGCCTCATATGATGACGTATCCGCGTCTTAAGATATTTAAGGTCAAAGGTCACGAAAATCAGGTTTTTGGCAAATATCTCGTTTTCTTTGCGCTGAACGACATTTAAGGTGATTAGAAAAATTGCAGAACGAAAAATTCTCTTCAACTTTTGTTTCAAGTAATTTTATATACATTCAACCCTTCTTGAGATAGAGCGCAAAGAGTGGAGGACCGCCTACCTGTATATACGATACAGCGAGGTCAACTAGTAGAATACAACAAATAAATGAGTTATATAGTTAATTATTCACTTAAAATACTATTATTATTATTAAATTTTTATTATTTATTATTTAACTAGCTTATACCCGCGGGCTTCACCCCGCGCTTTTATACAAATATGAAAAATAATTTAATGATGTTAGATTTTTTTTCTGTGCACATTTCGTTATAGCTCGTTATTTTTTAAGCGAGTTAAGGTATTTAGGCCGTTTAAAACTATGAAATTATAAAATCTCTTCTGCGCGCTAGGCATACGAAAGATATCAATCCCTCTAAGTTTACCTTAAAATGGTTCCAGGTATACGACGCGTGAACGTGTAACCTTCTTGGAGGTGCCACGGCGGGTTCTAATATTTCCAACTCAAATTTAGTAACCTGGCCTAGATAAAATACCACTTCTCATTACTGTAGCAAATGCCTCAAGAGAGCTCTACATTACAAGGCCGAACCCGGCTCTCCCATTTCCATTTAATGAAATTTATTCTGTCAGTACGGCACTTATAAAATAAATCTCCATACCAAATTTAAAATACTTCGAGAGATTTTCTATTCTTTCAGAGATATGTTTTTAGAGAAGCTTTTAGCATGTATGGGAGGCGACATGCCTCCTCTTTTAATAACTCACATTTTTTCCATGAGCAATTGATACATTTTGTATACACAACTCCATACCAAGTTCCAGTATTCTTCCACAAACACTTCCTGGGATATGTGGCAAGAAAAAGTAAATTTGTACTGGAAGTGCCACGCGCCTTTTTCTTATAACCCTAATCTTCTTCCATGAATTTAAAATTGATTTTACATACCCCAGAACCAAGTCCCAGTACTCTACCATGAACACCTCTAGAGATAAGCAGTATAAAACAGTAAATTTGTACGGCAGGAACCATGTCCCCTTTTCGAATAACGCAAATTCTTCTCCATGAGTATGGAATTAATTTTGTAAACACATCTCGGTGCCAAGTTCCAGTCCTCTACAATAAACACCTCTAGAGATATGCAGCATAGAAAAATCAATTTGCATAGGAGTTGCCACACCACCTTTTCCAATAACTCTAATTTTTCTCCATGAGTATGGTATTAGTTTCACATACATACATACATATGAATTTCCATACCAAGCTTGAGTGCTTTACCCCAAACATTTGAAGAGATATGCAATATGAAACTTTCAGTCAGTATGGGAGGTGCTACGCCTCGTTTCCAGACAAGTCCATTTTTTCTGTGAATATGAACATGATTTCACACAGTGTTGGCAAACTGTTAATCTGATTAACGATTAAAAATTAACGATTAAAATGTTAATCGCGTTTGAGGATTTACATTAATTAGTCGTAATCGACTGTACGATTAATGATAACATTTTTTAATAGTTAATCGCTGGCTGCGATTACGTTTAATTAATTAAAAACATTAATCGTTAATCCAATTAAAAATAAAATCTGATTAATTTGTCTAGTTTGTCCGAGTTTGAAACCAAACACCAGTTATGGTAATTATTTCGTGTTTTATGCTTATAAAAAGCACATAATATAAAAAAATTATAATTATTGTTATTAGTAATATACAAAATGGGAACTTTTACAAACCTAGTTTTTAAAACGTTTGTTGATATATATCTTAATGAAGATGCACACCAAATTGCTTAGATTGATGAGGAAACCCGACTTAGCCATACCTGATTAATTTGCTTTGTGTGCACAGGGAAATTCCAGCATACCTTAATTAATCACAAAACCTACTTGATCAAATTAAGAGTTAATGATTAAAAATTAATTTTTTAATCGCGGTTACGATTAACTGTTTCAGATTGAATTTAATCGAATTAACTAACTAATTAAAACATCAATCGATTAATGCCAACATTGATTTCACAGCCATATCACTATACCAAATTTCAGTTCTCTCCCACAAATACTTCCAGAGATATGTATGTAATATGAAAATTGCAATTTGTATGGGAGGGTCCTTGAGTTATCGGACTTACTTTCAGTCTAAGACCGTCCTTCCGAAATCCGTAGTAAATGTACTAAATTTCGTTCTGATCGGAAAACCGGTTAAGGAAGTAGCCTATTTTTCAATCCAGGTCATAAACCATCTTTGAGCAAAATTTCATGTTCAAACAGGTGGAAACTCTTAAAATAGTAGCCCATTTTCCAATATAGGTCATAAGCTATCTCTCTGCGTAATGTCATGCAAATCTGTTCAGTCGTTTCCGCGCATTAATATAATTAAAACCTTTTTAACAGGTGGCAACTCTTCCAAAATATTTGCCTATTTTCCACTGTAGGTCATAAGCTATCTACTTGCAAAATTTCTTGCAAATCCGTTCAGACTTTTCCGCGTATTTATTTAATTAAACTTGCTTAGCAGGTGGTAACTCTTAAAAAAATTTGTCTATTTTCCAACCTAGCTCATAAGCTATCTGTGTGAAAACTTCGATGCAAATCAATTCACTTATTTCCGCGTATTAATTAAATTAAACATTTCTAACAGGTGGCAACTCTTAAAAAAAGTACCCTACTTTCCAACCTATGTCATAGGCTATCTGTGTGCAAAATTTCATGCAAATCCGTGCAGTCGTTTCCGCGTATTAATTTCATTAAACTTTTTAACAGGTGGCAACTCTTCCAAAAAATTAGCCTATTTTCCACAGTAGGTCATTAGCTATCTGTGGGCAAATTTTCATGCAAATCTGTTCAGTCGTTTCCGCGTATTAATTTCATTAAACTTTTTTAACAGGTGGCAACTCTTCCAAATATTATTCTATTTTCCACCGTAGGTCATAGGCTATCTGTGTGCAAATTTTCGTGCAAATCCATTCAGTCGTTCCCGCATATTAAATAAATTAAACTTTTTTAACAGGTGGCAACTATTAAAAAAATAGCCTATTAACCAATCTGGCCTATAAGCTATCTGCGTACCAAATTTCATGCAAATCCGTTCTGTTGTTTTCGCGTGATGATTTCCCAAACATCCAAACATACAAACATTCACATTTATAATATTAGTAAGAGTAAGATAAGATATACAATCCCTGGCATTCAGTAAGCGGTCTCTAGTCAGTAATAGGGACTTATGGTGGTGAACTTGGATTTTGAGACTATTTGGTATTCAGTACGCTGTCTCACTGCTCTAGTCTCAAAAATAA